GTGATATTTAGCAGACTTTTAGGTCGTAAACTATACGCTCAAAAAATTCACTTGAGCTTAATCACCCTGTATACCTTCTGCACCTGTTCGCCCCCCAAAGACACGAATTTCAGTGGAAAATCCCGTTTAATCAAATCTAAGCGCCTCTAAACCAACTCCATTCTAATAGGGTGTTTTCATTGTATCAAAAATTCCTACAAACTGAACATTAATCTATGGTAATATGTATATATGAAAGATTAAATAAGTTCATACTATCTATCTATTGCTATTTTGTTAAATATTTAATAAACAAATTCAGCTAAAATTCAAATTTTTCGTGAATCTCTAAAACGCAATCATATCGGTTGTGACGTCTCTGCTCATATAAATGGCGGATTGTTTACGTTCTGTCCACAGTGTTTACTTGTGTGGTTGTGTTTCATTAATTATTTTGTGGATTTAAATAATTTATAGTTTGTGTTAAACTAAAAAATTGCTTCAGAAGGATTCCTTAAAGCGTCAACAAACCATTTACCATGTGTACATATTTTTATGGTTAGCCAATTTTTAAAAAACGACGAACGCTTTAATTCAGCCGAATTTAAAGGTCTCAAAGCAGCAGAGTAAGTAAAAATTCGTAAATTCATTATTAGTTACTATCTCCTTAATATACTAATCTGTCTGCATTGGTTTAAATTAGGTAAATAATATATAGAATTTCACTTATTCAACTTAACCTAACCTATACACATGGCTGCTTTAAAACTAAAATGAACTCCTAAATTTGTATTTTGGGCATCACGAGAACAAGATGGTGATATCGGATATGCGGGAGTGAAACGCCAGGGTTCTTTGTGCATTGAACAAGGTAGAGTTTGCCCAGAACACAAAGTACGATCGAAGGCATACTCTGTCTGCCTCATCATTAGCTTTTTGTTCGTACTTTAATCAAAATGATCCTCGCAACAAAAAAACATTGGAAACAGTTTGTTTGGAGCACTTATTGAGGCATCCTGGCACAAAACACCACTTATTTTGTGATCCATACTGTCACTATTTTCCATTGTGCAAGTTAATAATAATCAATTAAACAATGATAATCACAATATCTTAAATAATAAAACAAAGCTGCGAAAACAACAAAACAAACACGAGACACTTTGTTGATATGACTTGCTACGTCACAATGGGGATAGGCAACCGACCAGACGGATTCGGCGGCGTTTTTGGCGGAAAATCTCTGATTTGAATTAAAATTCGCTTTAAAATTATTATGGAGACTTTTTTTGCCAGAAAAATTATATCACTGCAGTGTTTGCCATAACTACTTTCTATTTATCAACATTAAAAAAAAAAGTGAAAACACCCTATTGGTGAATCTGCCATTCAGGAAGGTCAGAATAGACTAATGAATGCACATCATTTTCTGGACAGATTGCTGGACATGCGACAGATCGTTCCGGTTGCATAATTGCATGACATCGATACAGTTTAGGACGCGATGCGAGATTTTAATAACGCTAATGGATGAGTTGCGGAAAAATGGAGCCTTTATGCGGCCTGGAAGCGGGTTCAGTAACTTTTAGACGAGCGAATATGGACAGTTCGAGGGCGAAATGCGATTTGTTTTTATTGCCATGAAAGTGGAAGGGTGGATGCTGTCGAGGAATGTTGCTATTGGGGGCGGCTGGTAATGGAAAGTTTGATAAATTGGACGAAGCAAACGGGCCAACAAAACTAGAAGAAAATGTGGAATTACGGTTTTTATGGAACCCCCTCTAAACGGGGCAAAAACTGCTTGAATGTCAGTGTCCCAATTGGAATATTTCACCAACCTGTTCCGCATGGTTTGGAATTCTCACTGGCAATCCTCCAACTACCATGTAAGCGTCCCCAATTGTCTCCACTTTGTACACGTTATATGCATTTATGGTGGCATCGAAGCACGTGTACAAGTCGTTGAGCAGATCAACCACCTGTTTAACATCAAAATTCGGCGTAAAAATTGCTAAGATCTGCGGTTAGGAGAAATTCTCACCTGGAACGGAGTGGAATGCACTGATATCGTCGTAAAACCGACGATATCCGAGAAATAAATCGTCACTTCTTCGTACTCCTCTGGATCGACGGGCATGCCCAACTTCAACTTCTCGGCCACGTAACTGCAGGAATATAATCAGATAAATAAATTCGGGCGCTCTGCAGACTTCCATCCTAAGCGGGCTCAAAGCTCCTTACTTAGGCAACATCCTGTTGAGCAGCTGCTCGGTCTTTTTCTTCTCAAAATCCAACTGCTCCGTCCTCTCCCGAATCAGCTCTTCCAAGTTGTTGGAGTATTTCTCCAGCATCTGGAACATGGTGTCCACGATGTTCACTTTCCTTCCATGGTTCAGCTTTTTGAATTGTTCATGGACGGCGTTGAAGTCAGGGCGCATATCCGCCTGTTCCGCCCAACACTGGCGCATGATGTTGATGGCTTCCGGTGGAGCGGCTCCTTTGCTCACCGATGGCCGGATCAGCGGTGGAGGATGTTGCAATTTTTCGATTATTTCTTAAAGCCAGTGATTAGAGGAGTTGCCAGCTTTTTTCGGCTGCGAGTACCTTCAGGCGTTAGGGCGAGCATGCAGAAAGGCTCTCCTCGCACCACCACTTCCTGCAGAATTATCCCGAAAGAGTAAACGTCCCCAGGCTGGGTGCCTTTTTTTCTCGAGCTGGGGTCGCGGAGCAGTTCTGGAGCGGTCCATAGAAGCTCTAGCGGTTTGGAATACATTATTAAACTCACTTCTCACACTCTCTTAAATCTAATGTTCGCAGTACTTTGAAGAAACTTTAGTCTAAAGACCGAGGAGACTCCTGATTTCTGCCGCAAATATTTCAAAGTTGCTCAACATCGCACTCAAAATTTTACATAAGCAATCGACCCTTACAAAACTTGCAGTCAAACTAAATTGTACATGCTTGTTTTCGAGAAGCTCACAAATGTGCATTTGTAAAGTGTTTGCGTCAAAAATGCGATAGAAACTGTGCTTTTTTCTTAAAAGATCCGCATTGAGTAATGCAAATTGAGTTCGAAAACTCCCCCATCTTTAGAAAACAGTTGAGGCTGAAGAATGTGGAGATTTTATAAAAATCCCCAGACATCCTGATGTTAACCAGCTAAGTAAATATTGAAGAAGCGGAAGATTTGCTCAACTGCGACATTTTTTACAAAAATTCGCGTTTTCCAAACCAAACAAAGTAGGGACTTGAAACTTTTCCCATTTTGAGAAAAGACTTCAGTCTAAATATGCTGAAAGTTTTTTATAACAATTATCGACAATCCTGATTTTTCAGCTTGATAAATATGAGTTTCAAAATGTGCAAATGTTGGTCTCATAGCTTCAACATTCGAATCAAACTTGAAAGTGATCTCTTAAGGGCTTGGGCATGATTGTTTATGCTAATAATACTAATACTAATAAGTTACAAAAGTTGAAAGTATTTCTTTGTTATCGCTAAACGGAACTTTGCGAATGAGAAGAGGACGGAAATGTTGCCGCCCTTTCCAGAGAAACCGAGGCGTGGAGAAGTTAAATCGCATTTAATTGTTAATTAAAGGCCCTGAAAAGTTTCGCAGATTTCATAAATAACCCATTATCTGGAGACGAACGAAATGGAATTCAATTTGCTGGCCGGAAAGTCGAGTGCTAACTGAAGAAAAACAACCCAGGCACCAACCAAGCTCCTACTAAGATGCTTTTGACGTATTTTTTTATATAAATTTGTCCAGAAATCCGAAACAGCCATTGACTTTTAACGGGATGCAAAAAGGAAGGTTGCCACGTCTTTTTACCACACGAGCTGGCAGACTTGCGCTCTAACAGTTTACCCTTGAGAAGGCTGCAGTTGCTGCAGATGCAAGTGAAACGTTGATCTGTATGTCTAGGCCCATTTGGCCAGTTCAAAAGAGACCGCTGTAAACTTAATTTGCCATTTCTGTCCGTGTGCTTATCACACAAAAATTTGTTGTTGCGAGTACCATAAATACAGGCATAAAGCATGTGTTCCATGCATCCGTTTATACGATGGTACGATGATACGAAAGTGTTTCTATTGGTTGGAGATCTGTCAATTCGTACGACGGAGTACGAATTGACAGATCTCCAACCAATAGAAACACTTTCGTA